AGTATTAAACTCCAATAATTGAAAGTATTAAACTCCAATAATATCCAATGAATTATGAATGCAAGGCAGAGAATATATGAAAAGGGAAATATTATGTGTACACTGGTGTTATCAATCCATAATACTAGCTTTTCATATCATCGCAAATTCCATTGAATGATATTTTTGAGATGGGGATAATTTTTAACTTCGACCGAGAGAAATGGTATGAACGGTGGTTAGGCCTCCGAAATGTCATTTTGTTCAATTAAAGGCCAAACATTTAAAAATTACTTGACTTCGCCAGGTCCAAAAGCGAATGAAGACAAAATTTAAGCAATTAGATTTAAGAGCATCCCATATTTCGGTATCACAGATGGATTATTTTTTTATGATTCTATCTAAAGTGGAGCCAAATCTGTTTGGTTTTTCTGCAAGTTGTTAAAAAAAGAAAACGACAAGCAATTTGATGGATTAAACAATGAAAGGAAACATACCAAAGAGATGAATTCTCTTGTAAGAACAAATAACTAATCTAATAATTCCAGGAAACGATAATAAATCAACTCAGTACTATTATTTACCTAATGTATTGCGATCACTAATTATTTCTTATAAGTGGATTTTTTCCTGGAATAAAATTTTTTTTCCATCTCTTTTTCTCTCCCAGGAAAAAAAAAGTGATATAAAATGGTGTTAGGAAGGAGAGATATTTAAAATGTTCAATATTTGGGCAAAAAAATAGCTTACCTGGGAAAAAAGACAATAATTATCAGTAATAATCAAAATAAAAATATCGATATTGAAAGGAAGTACAGTTATCTTTTGTCATAAATTGTTAAACAAATCAATCAAAATTACTCTAATTTCCTATAAATATTGAACATTTATAGAAGATTGAATGGAAGAACGAATCCCTTTCGTGTCAACTAGTCACCGCATCTTACGTACTTATTCAGTACTATTCCTCCCAATGTATAATGTAGATTTAAATCTGAAATGAATAACTTTTTTCTCTTACCGTCTCCATAATTCATGATTTGACTTCACGTATCCATTTGATTATTTAATCAGTTATCATTTAATGAGTATATATATATATATATATATATTATTTATTTATTTATTTATATTTATATAAATGAGGATGTTTGCGTGTATTTGTATAAGCAAGGGAGGAGTCGAGTGACGTTCAGAAAGGAGGAACGAAAAGTATTGCCAGCTGACTTTGAATGAATGGGCAGTTCAAAGTGAGTTCTTTAAACGAAGGATCAACTTTTCTATATTGAATTTGTCGACGGTGACGTTGTTGGCTTTGGAGGAAAAAGAAAGAATGGTTTCTGGCGGTTATCGGGTTGGCATGCACTTGTTAACCTCTGCGCTAAGACTTCTTGAGCCAAGAGTGGATGATGATTTCGTTGATCGTCTCCATTATCTCTACACTTCAACTATGTTCTTCTTGTTCTCCATTATTGTATCTGCTAAACAGTATGGTAATAACTTTTTTTTTCTCATTATATATCCACAATTTCCCTTTCTTTTTTGTTTTCTTTTTTTTTTTTACT